GGGGCGGCCGCCTCTGGGGGCGCCGCTGACGTAAGGGACATTCCGAGGCCGCGCGCCCGCGCCAACAGGGCCTAAACCGGGGCTTCGTATATTGGGCAAGAGGCGGCGGGCAGTGCGCCTTCGGACCCCGACGTGGGGTTGGGGTTGGGGTTGGGGTGCAGAGTGCTGCTAGTGTCTCAGCCGTCTCCCTCCTCCAGCCAGTAGCTCGGCTCACCTGACTCACGGACCTCTGTCATCATTTCACTCTCTTTGTTTGTAATTTCCTATCTTGCTCGCTCGTCTTTTCTTCTTTCTTAGAAATTCTCCTTTTTTCTATTTATCCCTCTAATACACATTTCCCTCACATTATTATATCAAGGAATATTTAAACATGTATGTTATATAAACCTTAATATTTCCTTTTTAAACAAAATATATGCGTTTATTTTTTCTTTACGTAAGGTAGGTGTATAAAGGTTACACACAGGCAATAAAGAAAAATAACAACAAAGTAGCACAGTTTAATAGATCAACTTGTGAGTACAGCACACAAACAACCATGCTCGTCTTTCATCAGAGATGGGAAGACGGGCGCCGCACAGGCAGCCAGCGATTGCTTCGTAGTCGACGGGTTCGTGCAGCCTCTTGCAACATTACACTTCATGAAAACCCGGGGTTCCTCCAAGTCTGATCAATCTACTGAATATTTGTTTCTATTCAATATCAATGGTACACTTGAAATAAACACTTCACAAAATGTAAACCGAATTCAAGTCACTTCAAAATGTGGAGAATGAAGGCCAAACTTGGAGAAACGCGAGGATCTTGATTCGGTAAAGTGGAGGGCGGTTCGATATTTCGAAACTAGATCCCACCAGTATTTTTATTGTAAAATTCTGAGGGAACGTGGCACATCACTTCTCATGTATCTTCAGGAAAACAAAATGCATAAAAAAGGAATGAACCTTAATATAGGAAAGGCATGCCTATTGCACAGGTCAAGGAAATCTACACAACCAAGGAACGAGAGAGGAGACCTAGATGTGGTCAGTTCTTTACAAATATTCACTCACTCATAATAGCGAAGTAGCGACAGAGACAATTGGCAGTCTTGTAAGGATTAGGCTAGATGGTAAGATTTTACAACAGTACTCTTATTCTAATTATAAGTTTGAGTGCTGGCACTGTGTCTTCTTTGCCATCTAAATTTTTGTTTCCTACTGCATTAAACATATTTCTATCTCAACATTTTCTTCTAATTGCTATTTATTAAAAATATTACTGCCTACGCATGTGTGCTAGATAGATCAACCATAAATTCTCACCAATGTTTTGACTAAAGTAAACACAGTTATACTATACTTCTGATGCAGCAGAAATTTAGTTTCTCATTGGCACATTGTTGTGTTTCAGACCAGATGCAATACACTTAAAAATTTAAAAAATTGTGTTGAAAATTGTTGAACTATTACTCCGTTTCATGTACAGAGATTTTAAATTAATTTAGACACACGGGATAGCTGTCTTTTGTTGCAAAAATGAATAGTCAATAAAGTATAGTAAATGGATTGGAATGTTTGAAAAACATTTCTTTTCTGAGGGTACTTTCCATTGCTGTACGCATTTATAACACATAACGCCATTATTTCATTTTAGTTCACAGAAAATTCTCGATTATAAATCGCCAACACATGGATCAAGACACAGTATTGTCATATTCATTACTTCGTTTACTTGCGGTGAGATACACTAGCAGTGAATTAAATAAAAATTGTAACATGTCGGCAAGCAGTATATTTACAAAGTAACATTCACTCTTCATATCAAAATCTCTTTGTGTAGACAAGGAAAAATTCTTATTAAACTCGAAACCAGTTTTTATTACCAATAATTTAAAGTAATGATACGCATCTTAAACAACTGTTGATTTTTGTGCGAAAAGTGTCATATGGATCATTGAGGCTTAACTTTCCTTGCCTACACGTCTGAGCAGTGTAATGATTAGAGGATTATTGGAAAAGGATCGACACCAATAAGTCTCATGTCGAGCGACGCAGGAACTTCGGAATTCGATTGCGCACTGCATCGCGTAGTTGACGATACACCATCAGAAGCAGAACTGGTACTGCGTACAACTCGTCCTCAAACACGTACAGCCAGCAGGCCACGGAGAACATGGCTACATCTGTGAGATATTCAATTGTTGTTCGAACCTTCTTCTCAGCCACCTTTAACAAAAAAGGGATGAAATTAGTAAGAAACAAATATGAAATTCGGAAAATCAATACTCCCACCGTTTGTGTATATTCTATTGCACAGATCCTTTCTCTAAGGGATATAAACGAGCATGGCTTAAGAATTGTCCACGTCAACCAGAAACGAGTACTTCACTCGGTTTTATCAGTAGTTTTATCAATTTCGTTTTATATCCTAGCGCTGAGCATTAGCGTGTTTTTCACCATATCACTTGTGCTGTGGACATTTCTAGACAAATCAATCAGATTTGACTACAACATTCATTGCATTACTTGTAATAAACTGCCATTACCACATTCAAGCGGAAACGATTTTCTCCAGTGAATATCATATGATAAGTGGATTCTTTGAATAATAAAATGAAGTTTTTCTGTCTGAATAATGCTGCCACATACAAGGCTAACAAATTAATGCATAAATTAGATAGAAAATTATGTAACATTCAAATTTGAGGAATGTTACGATATAAATAATACAGAAAATAAAGTTTCATCAATTTCCAAAATTTTGTTGAAGTAACCTTAAAGCATATAATTTTGAAATTTAAATTAGAGATAGTGTGGTAATATTTATATAGAATATTTTAATATTTTTCTCTTCGACATTTCTATCACAGAAAACGTGTCTAAGTACTAGTTTATGCAATTAGTTTATAATGGGAAGCTTTATTGCACGAGTACATGTTTTTAAAACGAGTGACGTTAGGAGCGAGTTTTCAAATTTGTATGATAAGAAAAACATTATAAAGGAGTTGCATGCGCTAATTTTTTTAAATAAAAGCATTGTAAATGAAAGAGAATCAAACTTAATTTTGCGAAACAACTTTCTTCTGATGTCTCGGTTGACACCAGTGCAAGAAAAGTGTGGTCGGCTGTTCCGTTTACCTCTGCTTCCCCCCATTATGGAACTGCGATTGATTCAACGTGTAAAGACGCAGTCATTCGTGCCGTAAAATCTAATATGTCATCATTTGTGGCGTAAAATGCCCGATTATGAACTATTTCTTGCAACAGAAAAGATCGTTTACAAAGCTGAAATACAAAAATTTCCTTAATACATTTCTCACGTAAATATTCTCTGTTTATCAACACGTGATTTGAAATTACAGAGCCTATTAATTTTGGAAACAAAGTGTTTTTATATATTAAATTAGGAAATAAAGTTTGACAGACGAGTAATCACTGTGATAATTTTGAAAGAAAAGCATGCAGTGTGTATAACAATGGCGGATACGATAAAAGTGAGGAAATATATTACAGTAAACAGTTACAATACACAATAAAAAATAATCATTTTAATTGCAACAAATTGAATTTATATCATTTATCGGTCACGTGTATCTTTAACATCTGTTATTTTGAAAACCTATAGGTTTGCTAAATGCACATGTACCTTTCTGTATTGAAATATTGCATTACTCATAAGTAATATAAAATAAATAGACAACACCAAGAAGGGCCTTTTGGAGGCGCAAGGGGCCAGGGCAATAGAGGTCGAGCACAAAGAGTGGAGGACGACTCCTTTCCCAGCTGCGGGGGAGGAAGAGTGGGGACGGGTTTATGACGACGAAACGCCAACGTATTGCGGTGGGAGTCTACGTAGCCCTTTCGCGCGACGCATGGCCCGCTTATCAATCAGGCCAAACAATCACAAACCACGAAAATTGCAGTGATAGGCATGAGGAGTGCGGAGGCAGGACAGGGCTTGCTCTCTCTCTCTCTCTCTCTCTCTCTCTCTCTCTCTCGCTTATCCACGATTAAGCTAATCGGCCGGAGAGGCGTAGCTTCTGCGCTTCGTGCGCGACACGTTATAAATCGGCCATCCTTAAGAAATCGCTCAACGACTCAATCGCGTCCGTGCACGCGCGACTTTCCACGAAGAATTCGACCTATTCCCTCCACCAATTAAAAGAAAGATGGGCGAGCTCATTTGTAGCGACGCTGAGGATTGGTGGAAAAATAGAAATAGGCGGGATGATTTTCAGAAGACCCCCAAAATGTTAAACAGAATATGAATGGAAGTGCACGGATGATACCAATCAAACTAAATTATTCTAATGGAAATGGCACTCGATATAATCATAAAATATAGAGACTCACCAATTCAAACGAAAAATACAGTAAAACAAATATACATACATATTTACAGCAGAGCGTGCAAAGCACGTATAACAGCACACTGCAATTATTCGGGAGAAGGTTGTTTCACATGTTTAGTAGAGCCTTTTCTCGTAATACATTCTTCCCCATCATCGTTGAGGCATTTTTTTCAGGTCCATCTCTTATCTATATTTATTATACACTTATGGCTTTTAGTAATGTGTTTTAGCAACACACGAAAATCCTCATTCAATTGCAATATCTACGCTACTAATATCTAGCGAATTATTGCGCGTATCGGAAAAATACTGTGCACCACGATGTAGAGTTCCGATATCAATTCCTTATTCGACTTACACTTCATTTTCGATAATGCTGTTGGTTTAACTATTAACACGGGGTGCCCTTTGATTATTACGTATAGTAGACTTAATTTTCAAAGAAGGGCAACAGATGGGCAACAGATACAAAATATATATTTATTTAATATGTTGTAAAAGTGTAAAGCCTAAACCTAGTCGTAGAGTATACAGAGACTGCTTTCCACAATAGACAATGGAGGAAGCATTGGGGAAGCAAACCATCGAGCAAACAAAATCCAATCCAAACAAATTTTAATTTGGAAAATATGTGCCGTAATACTCAATTTGCAATAAAAGATGTAATTAGTTTTCATGAAAAATTATGAACATTTGCATCCTTTTTTCAGAATGTTAACGCTTGTGCAGAAGAGAATTCTAGAGTTCAAATTAGGTTGCCTTAGATCGATAGAGACACATTGAGAAAACACTTCCATCGTGACCCACTGCAGAAAGTTATTTACGGAATATTGTTCCTGGTTTATGACTCACTTTTATATGAAGAATGGAGGAAATAAAATATTGGCTTCACTTTAGAATGAAATATAATATAAATAGTTAGAAGCGAATATTGAATAGTGTATATTAGGTATTTTAAGTTTTCCTTTCCGTGATACGAAATGTAGAGAAAGAAATGCCTCAAAATATGGATGTTGGGATTTTCACGGATATATATATTTTTGGGGTCCCTGATACCGAAAAATTGTTTGTTTGCAAAACCGACCTACTTCATGGAATTTATTCCACATTATATCTTTATATCATTTTATAATCATTTTTTGAAATATTAGTAAATTTCGGGCAATTTTGAATCAAATTGTGACTATTTTCGTCAAATACGTAAACAATATTTATGATTTGTACCACGGAACGGATCATACTTTACATGAGTATTTAAAACAATACACTAAATTATATGTGTATTAAAACGTTGACTTTCACGAAGATAAGCATGTACTTTGGTAGTGGATGCGTCCGAACTGCTGTGATCCGAACCACAGGAGCGATGCACGTCACTGGTTGCGAACACACGCGCTATGCAGCTGAAATGTAGGGGATTTTGTACGACTTCAGGTACTATTATAAAATGGAATTATTACAAATAGTACAAGAACGTATGTGCTGTTATAACCTTTAGTTCGTTTTAATGAATAAAAACGTTTTAGTCAAATTTGTAATTTGGAGACATTGTAAAGAAAGGAGTTTGCTAAACATACGCTAGATTTACAATTTGAAAGGTCTCAAATAAGTTATTACGGGAAAAGTTAAACGGACCGCAATGGCAGTACAAAGGGCTACTAATTACCATATCGTTCTGTTACAATGAAAGTTAATCTGACTTTTATAATTCGTTTCTCGTTCCGCTGTTGTAAATGTACAATTTGACTGATGTGGCAATCAATTTATCTATAACACGAAACCAATCGCGAGTGTATGCGACCATGACAAGAGCAGAACACTCTTTCGTATCTGCATTGTTTAAACAGTCTTGGCCGTGCCTTATCGGTGGTTACGGCCTTACGTAACAACAATGATTAAAGACAACTTCAGAAGCTTGTTCCGCATGCGCGAGAACTTCACATCGATTCTGTAAGGCTCTTCAGAAACGTTTCAAGCTCAAACATAAATTGAACTTTTTCGATGTATTCCTACTCAAGGATTAAAAAAAGTTCAATGAAGACGTAAGTTTCTGCGAATACAGCCAATAGAAAATTGATGCCCCCAGAGAGGCTGTATCCTAGACATTGTTGCTGAGGTCGGGGCATAAATACCTAGAAGCGAATTCTCGACAGCCAAGATTGCAAAAAAAAAATTACTTTTAGCCTAAATGGATAGCACGATTACCATGATGAAAATTAATGCGATGCATGGATATAAATAGAAGGTTAAGAAATAAATTAATACCAATGTTAAGAATATCAAAGGCATGTAATTGTAATACATTTCATGCAATGAATGTCATATCGTTAAAGTATTGTAATATTAATGTTAACGTGCAACACATATATTATTCACAAGAATACTTTATCACATGATAGTTCACCTCGGATTTTACACACATATTTTATTTTCCATTGTATATTTCAATCATACTGCACTTTTTTACTGATGAAAGGGAATCACACTTCTTTTGTTGATTCTTCGATAACGCAAAAACATGTTTTTCTCTACTATTCACATACTCTGAATAATTTTTGCTGTAATCACTTTATTTTCTCTTTCTTGCTCTTACGAATGTGAAAGAAAGTATTGAAAACGTGCGCTAGAAAAAGGGGCATTTTCCACAGAAAAAATCTTAAGGTTTGATCCTGGTATCCATAAACTGGATCAATCCTGTACCTATATCAAGAAATTTACTTCCTCTAACACGGGGCATAACCAGAATCCATGTTCTATCGGTGCTTGATACCGAAAACTCAGTTCACGGCAAAACGTCTGTATGTATATGGTCAACACTAGCGCCAAAATCGTTCAGCCGATATTCTCCAAACTTGATATTCTCCTATCCATCTGAACGAACTTTAGGCTATAAGAGTTTTAAACATATTTTGTTTTTTGAAAGTATTTTAAACGAAGCCTCAACATTTTCAAAATTTTCTCAAAAATGGCACCAAATGTTTCTATTAAGCTTTGTAGGGTGAAAAACGCATAAGAGATAAATTGTTTGATGTTAGTTGAAATTCCTGATTTTTCGAAAATTGCAAAACTACAAACCTTACAATTACAATATTGAAGGTATTATATTTTTCTTTAATGAAAACTGTTTTACAAAGATCTTGAAATATGGTCATAGACAATTTAGTGTTCTTGAAATGTAAGAAAGTTTTAAACAGTTATTTTCGCAAAAAGGGCCTCAGATCTTTTTTCTTTTTTTTTCTCGCAAATGATGTTAAGAAAATTGTCCAATTTTCAGTGAACCCTCTATATCATTAAAGACTGCAAAAAAAATGAACATTGCAATAGTACAAAATTGGCGATAGAGATGTTTTTATTTAATGAAATTGATTTAAAATATTAAATCTTAAAATATGGTAAAGAACAATTTTTTATAAATCAAGTGATTTTCAAGCAATTTTTGTTTGAAATCATTGCAATTTATTTTTTTCCCACGGATTCCAAACAACGTTTAAAAATGGCGCATATTAATTTTTGTTGAACTCTTTGAATCCTTGAGTCTCGTCGACAAATACAGTAGGGAGTTGTCAGTATAAAAGAGAGCTAGCTTTTGCCTTAATGAAAAGTCATCTCTCTAAGTCGCGTAAACGAACTAATCTCATTAAAATAAACCTTTAACGGCCAATTTTAACCTGGAAGTTTGTTAGCATTCAGCACTAAAAAGAGATGAGTGCAGTAACGCTGGAAGAGTAACGTTCACGATAAGGTTAAATAGGAGTAACAAGTTAACGAAGATCTTGGTATCTCCATCACATTTGCACGATATAAAACGAATTATGCCGGACTCGAACCACAGACCCATGGACCCATGTAAACCAGCTCCCACTCCCTACCATTGCGTTATCTAGGCCGACTATTCTCATTTATGCGTTTTATCCTTCTATATTACTATCACTTCTGTAGGTTAATATTATATGTAATTGGCAATTGTGATACGTGAGGTATTTATCAAGGAAAGCAACCATACAGCATTCACTGGCATTAAGTCAGTAAATCCAATTCTGTTAGATAATTTCCGCGGTGGCAGCAGAGATATTGAGGTAAACTATAATGATAAAGGATCCAGGAGGTACCAACGAGAAAGTTCATTTACAAATATATTTAGTATTAAAAATAATAAGCCATACACATGTTGCGGGAAACTTATCCCATTTTCATTGACTGTACAAAGGAGAAAATAACCTGGTAATCACCTAATGTAAGAAAATCACTCTTTCGCCTCTAATATCAATTTCAAAATTCTCCATTTAGAAAAAAGACAATAAAATGAATATTTTAGAGAATTTAGCCATTTTCAAATTATTCAAAACCCGCATTTAATAGCCCTTAATGAACAATCTCTAGTAAAATGCAGTCCCGTACTAAAACTCATCACTGACTCACTTCCTCACTTTTCCATTTCCTCCCTCGGCTTCCCCCTTTAAGTCAGTCACAGTAATGCCCAGATAAAAGAATAGTTAAGGTCCACGGTATCATTCCATGACATTTGAATATTTCCCATTTCTAAAAATTTTACAATGTTGATTTTTGTATCACGTCCATTCCTATTTGTTTATTTAAGTTAAATTCATTTCATAGGTTTCATTTTGAATTTGATTAACTACTGCCATGTCTATAGAGCGACGGACGACGGCAGAAGATTCGTGTGGCTAATTATTTTTAATATTAAGTATATTTTCAATAAACTTGGTGGTTGATACCTCCTGGATCCTTAACCAATGTTGTTGGTTATTACGTTGCTGCATCAACGAATGGAGTCCGTGTCTGAAAGGCGTACTTCGCAGGAGGGAGTCGCTAGGTGCAGGGAGGCGAGCAAAGCGAGTGGGAGTGCGTGCGTCACCTTCGTCAGAGCCTCCTCCTCTTCGGGCGTGAGTGGGCGCACCGGCGGCGGGCGCTCGGGCGCGGGAGCCTGTG